CTCCTGGGTCCCAGCCACCACCTCAGCCCCCTCAGCCTAACTCCTCGCAGCCCAACTCAAACTCGAACCCCTCTGGCCCGCAGGGTGAGTCTTCAAGCTCAGTCAAACAAACTCTTTCCTCTTTCCACCCTTTCGCATCGTGCAGCTCCATTTTCACCTAGTCGAGTCTACCTATCCATAGCTCTACTGTTTTTTCCCCCCTTTTTTACATTCTCCTTCTCTCTGTTTTTCTTTATCCCTACATTGCCTCTCTTTCGATTCTTTTTTCTTTGTCTCTTTCTCATCCTTTCTCTTCTCTCTCTCTGTATCTCCTGCTATGATAACTTTCCTATCTTTTTATTTGTTTGTTTTGTTTAACAATTATCCTTTTAAATAGTCCTTATTATTCAAATCCATATATATTTTATTATTTAACGATCGATATAAGCACGCGGCGAAGAGAGATATATTGGCATGATTATTGTAATTTTTTTGGCGTATGATATGTCTATTCGAGATATTCATGCTTCGCTTATTAACAGTATTTTTCCTCCTCTTTTTTTTTTTGTTTCTTTCTTTTTACTTGCGAACATTATTGTAACGTTTTCTTTTTGTAAGTGTTTCCCCCTCCTCTTTGGATCGTCTGAGAATGTAACGCCTGTCTTTAATGAATATCACACCTTTGTCTGTTAACAAAAAACGATTAATTGTAATTGGCTTTTTTGGAGTTCACCGAGAGATGAGCTTTTCATGCATTGGGGTTGGAAGAAACGAGAAACCGAAGAATTCTAATTGTGCTGTATAAACGATAAGGAGATACGATTTATTTTTTTGACTGAATAAAAATATTGTCCCATTTGTTTTGTAACATCCTCTAATGTTTCCCCCGTGTTCCTCCATCACACTTTGCACACATTCGTTTTAGTTGCTAGACTAATTTTAATCTGGTGACAATTCTTACTTAACGTTGTCCTCTGCGCTTGTTCCCCCTATTTTTTAGTTTTTTTTTTTTATTTTGTCTCTCTCCTTTTTTTTTTTTGCGTAATATAGAATTTCTTTCGAGAGCATGATTTTTTTTTGTCGTCTCTTTGTACAGATTATAAGTAATACGTAGTTGTTAATGCAAAATTCACCTAGACTTACGAAAATTGTAAATCACGTCACTTTTTATACGTCTTGTCTCGTTTAGTGTTACATGATAATTTAAAAAGAAAAGAAAAGAGGATAAAAGTAGAGCTACGCTTAGAATAATTTGTTACGCTTACGATTGTTAGCCGATAATTCTTCAAATTGAATATCCGTAGTAATTATGTAATCGGTATCTCGCACTTACTTTACTACTCATCCACTACATCACTTCTAATTTTGTATGTTTTTATCTGAAATCGATTATTCTTTGTCCTATGTAAACCAATACAAGTATTTTCTTTCTACTTTCATTGGTTGTTTTTTAATACCTCCCAAAAAAAAAAAAAAAGAAAAAAATGTTCCTTTTGTTTAATCGTTGTGGCATATTTTTCACAGAGTAGAGTGTAGGTATTTGGAGCTAATCTCTTAAGTGTATTCGTGTCTTAATTGTAAGATCGTCATTGTACCAAGAGGAATATAAAGAAGCTTGAAATCTTATACAAACAAAAAAGAAAAAGAAAAAAACATAACTTTTGCTGTTAAATGTAGTATAGTGCAATCCCGTTCTCCTTTCTTCCATCTCTCCCATTATCGTCTAAGTAGACACATTTACGAGTTCTGTTCAAACGCCTATTCGATTTTTCAATCACCTCTTTACATTTTTATTTCAACAAATTTGTTTTTACTCGCTTGTAAAAAGAAAAGAAAAGAAAGAAAGAATTCAACGTTTAATATCGTGTACTGTTCTCCGCTTGCCCTGCGTGATCGAATTATTTATTTAATCAAATTAACGCGTCCATTTGTGATTGTCCACGATGCTTTCCAAACCGCACTATCCCCCTATGTCTTTAAAAAAAAAAAAAAAAATGAAGACAAAAGAGATATATTTTTGGATACTTTTTCATATCGATCTTGTGATTCACATAAAAGCATGCCGAATTTCGATCCCTAAAATGATACATACATATATATATACATACAATAAGCTTCGTAATAGAATAAATCCGATTGAAGATATAATATCGACCGGCGAATAATGATCATGAAAAGTATCAAAAATGTATCTTCGCTGTGCGGGCATAGAGCCAGTAGTCCTCACGGCTTATGAATAAACGAAACGAGGTAAGTGGAGAAGTTTGTTATAACACGATTGGAAATCAATGTTCCAGGTGACATGTATTCACGACAGTCCACCGGCTCAGGTGCACCTGGATCCAGTAGCAGTTCAGCTAAAACTCCGGATTACGCGTACTCATATGGTAATTACGCTGACACCAGTTATCCTCAGCGTTCGTATCAGGGAGGAGAAAGCAACCAAGGTGGGTATGCCGCCAGCGCCCCTAAACCCCAGCAAGGCTTTGATTTCAAAGAGTGGCCCACCTCATGACCATTTTAATTGACCTGATGGAGAGATGCGCTGAATGGCTTGGCCTTGCTCGTGGGTTATTTCTTATTACATATATTCAGAGAAAACACAGAAACATAATAATACAACATATTTTCCGTATAATTTGGGATCGTGAGAGTCTGTGCTCGATATTTACAAAAACCGGGACATTCTTTCGGGATCTGATTTTGATTTTTTTTTTTTTTTTGTTTTTCCTACAACAATTTCACCGATGAAAAGATAGAAAAAGAAAAGAAAACGAAAAAAAAAAAAGAGAAACAGAAGACTTTATTTTTCAGATACCATGTCGTTCTCTCCAAGTGCTGGAATTGTTACAGAGAGAGAGAAAGAGTTTATTTCTTAGATTTTTTTGATACGCTGTTCTTTTTGTTCTTTTTTGCTGAATTTTTGCCTGCCGATTTAACACGATTATGATTTGTTTTTTTGTTTTTTTTCGATTTATCGCTGATTTATTATCGTACAACAACGGTTCACGTAAAGAATGTCTCGATCGAGCCGGGGTATGTCGTTCGCGAGCGGTCGTAAATTTTTGTTGGTATTTTTTTTTTGGTCTTTCAACCTCTCGACCCGACACGATATTTCTTTTCGACATATCCTTTTGTAGCACTCGAGAAGAATTGAGAACACAAGGAAAAGCACTGCGTATGTTCGTAAAACGGAAGCGTCAAGGAAAAAAGAGGGTGTGTTAGGTTTCTCGAAACATTGATTTCATTGATCGCTCGCGAGAACGGCCCATGATCTTGTCGGGTTTCGAAAGTTAATACAGTAGAAACAATTGAAACAGTACACAGATAACAAAACAAAAAACAAACAAGAAAAAAAGAAAGAACGAGGTGAAGCAAAAAACAAACAAAACAGACAGGTGAACAAAAGTAACAAACGAAAAAAGAGTTAGGATTAAAGAAAAATATATATAAAACAAAATGAACACTGCAACAACAACAACAGCAACAAAAACACCCATGGTGCAAGCGAATTTTTTGTATGGCACTGGGATAGAGGATAGGAAGCGGAGCATAGAAGTATTATAAGAGTTAAACTAGATCGAATGGAATAAGTGAAATAATAAAGCATTAAAATGAAAACAAAAGCGAGTGTAAAGAGTAAGGAATGCTGAATCAATTAATTACTTAACAGCATTTAAGCGGGGGTGAATGAGTGATCGGACGATTTTTGAGAATTTGATTTTTCTCAGTGGAATAATGGCACAAAGTAAACGAAAAAGA